CCCTGAAATATCGCCCAACTTATAACTAATTTCTGCCATGAAGGACGCAAACTTCGGGATTTATCCCCCGGATTCGTTCAGTGCCAGGCCAATCCCACTAATTCTAATTATTATTATTTACTGCTCCTTCGAATTATGGCCCTCGAAATTGCGGGGAGATAATATTACACCTAACTGTTGAACAATATCTCGATTAGTTGCCACGTCCCGGTTTAGACTTCTTGACTTCTTGAGACATGTGTCTTTCTATTCTTTTGAAGAAATCTTGAGACTAGAGATTAAGCATTTTGTGTGATACTTATATTTGCTGTCTGTTATGGTTCGTGGTATTCTGCTGCATGATATGAAGCCAGCGATCGTCTTTGAGTCGGTTGATACACAGCCACACAAAAAAATTGTTTTCTGGTCAGACTATGTCTACTACATGTTTTTGTGGTCGCTGAATTCGAAACCTTGACCCATTTAACCCCCATCACGTCAGGTTTTACCAATAACCCCATATAACATCATATCCTAAGCTGTCAATTCCTATTACACATAACTATCCTGTAAAGAGAGCTGTGCACCCACAGTAACCATGTAATCTTATACATTCAACCTCAAACTTCCTAACCCGATAACCATATAATCCCATAACCCCATAACCAATAACTGCAACAACTACGTTATTCAGTAGTTTGACTCAATCTCTCATCGCGGGATATATTAAGCATCTATAAACAGAATATATTTAACCCTACGCCCTAACCCTATTACCCTATAACCCCATAACCACATAACCCCATAACTTCAATAACTACATTATGCAGTAGTTCGATTGTTTGATACAAGGAACATAGTCTATATCGTTATTGGTTCCCAGTTTCATCACCTCCAGTAGATTATCCGTCAATTTCAAAAACATGCCAAATGAAGCACCTGACTAGCTGCCGATTTTGGGCATCCGAAGCCTGCCTAGACGCATGAAAGCTATGGTCCAGGGACTCCAGGGACTTGGGTTAGCATATGCTCCGGTTACAGGATCACTGTGTGCAATAGGACTTGACAGCTTAGGTTATGAGATAAAACCTGACGTAATGGGGTTAAATGGATCGCGGGTTCGTATTCAGCGACCCAGAAAACATGTAGCAGACAGTCTGATCTCCAGACTCGAAACACAATTTTTTTTTGTCTCCTTACCTATATCTTTCTGGAAGCTCAAAATATGCATTCTATAACCAGGAATTTTATATTAGTTCTGTTAAGTATGCCGTGCTCCCTAACTACCGATATTTCTGAAGTACTCTTTAGGTTAGACTGCTAATGTGCCTCCCTGTTCGATTTTGTGGAACATCCAGTATATGGATTTTCATAAATGCTACTGATTAGTAAATATATAACTTTTCTTCAAATTTCAATAAAGAATGTAGAATAAAATAAAAAGAATAACGAAAAGCTGTGTCAATTTTATAAAATATACAGTACCTACATAAATTTGCACAAAACATCCTGGGTCAATTTTGTGGCACATCTAGTAATTGGAACTTCAAAATTAAAGGAGTGATCAGTAAATATACAACTTTTCTTCGAAAGGTTTCAATAAATAAAGTCGAAAAGTAGAAAGAATAAGGAAAAGCCTAGTCTACCTATGTAGTTTTATGAAACATTCAGTACGTAAATTACAAAAAAACATCTGGTTAGTACGAAATAAAATTCTTCATAAAAATATTGCAATCAATTAAATTTTGAAATATACAGAAATCTCTGTTTCGAGTAGATCTGATTCGAGCTTCAACGCAATATTTTAGATACACTTAGTAGAAAAAGCTATATGAAAATTTAATTTTTTTTTCGTGTAAGATGGTTTAAAAAGATAATTTAGTTCATAGTGGTACTGTGACAATAACATTCAACTTTCACTTTTTGTGCAATGCTCATAATTGTACATTAAACGTGTTTTTATAATCAATGTTTTCCATTCAACTGTTCCCAAATCTTCCTTTTTCTTCATGCAGTTGGTAATTTATCTATGTTTCTTCGAGACGATAAATTTTCGTTTTCGATGTAGGATACTGTATTATTTTTTCTAAATATTCTCTAGGATATACTGCAGTTTCGCTAGCTTCTATTAGGATACTTTTTGAATTTCGTTTTAAGAACAAATATACATTTCATGCATAGTAAGCTAAAACGTTTTCTGTGGGGTTGGAGTGTGAATTTCCTTTAATGTTGGTAGTTCACTTTTTAAATAAAATTCGTGAGTTCTCCTAGGGGTCCTGTGCTTAACGTCATTGTTAATTTCGATTTTTACTGCGGTACATTTTGTTTTTTTTACAGTTTTAACACCTTACGTACGTTAAGCATTTCACTCAATGTTCCTGATCTGTTAAATTTAATTTCTAAATCCTTTTCGATTCCCTATCTAACAGGATTTATTAGAATAACTAAAATGTGAAAAATAACACAACTCTTGGACGCGTATGACACGCACTAACGAGGAAACTCTTTTTGTACTCCATTTTAATGAACTAGCAGATGGTGCCTTCCAAGAGATGAATACCATGGATATCTTTCAGATAGTCTCATTGGCTAGAACACTTGCAAGAAAATGTCCCACTTGATTTATTTCTTTAAGTTACCTCTTCCAGATATTGCTATGGTCAGTTGATTTTCTATGTCGTTGTGCACATTGACAATTATTTCAGAAGCAATCCAAATCAGGCCTTCAGGGCAATAAATTTAGATCTGTTATTACACTAAGTAAAGATTTCCGTCTACTACCAAATGGTCTGGTCATTATAAAATAATTTATAACTGACTTAATTCACATGATTCCTCAGCAATAATTATTTCTTTTGACCAAAAGCGGACATTAACTGCATACTGCATATTATAAAATTCTCAACTGATAAATTGTGTTATCTGTAACAAAACGTACTTCCTCCAATAAAAATCAAAAAACTGTGTCTACGCGCGAATGTCTTTTTTTAATTTTTATTATGTACAATATAAGGCGATCTCTGTTATTTATCACCTTGTTCACCTTTCCCTCAGTTCTTAAACTTAACAACGTATGAGCGAGTATGACTTATTTAATGTATGGTACGACGAGAAATATGTTAAATGCTTTAACCTCTACGTAGAGAAAATACAGGTTGATTTTCAATATATATGCTTAGTTTAATACAAGAATATGTAATCACAAGGATGTGAGCAATCTTGATGTCAAAATGGATGGGAGTAATAGATTTAAATGTGATAAATTGCTTGAGAGCTTACATTTTTTCGAGTCATCAGGACAGGTGGTTTTAAAAACGTAAGGCGTAGCTGAAGACATCTGTACGACTGTATTATCGTTCCTGGTGGATGTACAAAGCAATTTATTATAATCATTGACAGCTAGAAAGCATAGCATTATTTTGCACTCTATATTTGCATCATATACACATTTTTATATGGATGTTTTCAAATTCGGGAACACATTTCTAATCATAAATCCATCTTGATATGTTAAATCATATGAATCAAAACTTATCTCCCGTTAAAAATAAATCTCCGAGTTCATAAACACCCTGTATGTTTTTTTAGTTGAGTGTTTGTTTTATAACATTAACAAAGATAATGTACTTATATTTAAATTTTCCGTTATTTAATAGAACTTTGCTTATTAGTTTCAAATATACAGGATGTCCGTTAAAGAATGGGCCACTTTACCACTAGATTCTACGATGAAAATTAATGGGGAAAAGTCATACATGCTTAATTTTCAAAATACAGGGTGTTGAAATGGAAAAAATAAATAAAATTTTTGTTTAAAATCGTTCGACTAGTTAATTTCGTGAAATTTCGTATTCGGGGTTTTTTGGGATGACAAATTGGAATTTATTGACAATTTCCTTGTATTTTCTAGAGGGCGCCACAAGCGACGATTAGTATACATTTAAACTGCCAAAACTTTTTTGTGCCACGGTGTTTTTTTACTTCAGACTGGAAAAATATTTTCCCCCAACTTTTCTGCTTAACCCTTAACTACTAACGTGTTCGATTTATGACATTGTCACTAAGCCTACGTCTCACAGACGTCTATAAGTATTTTGCATATATTATTCATAAATTTATAAAAATAATTGTGATGACCTGTTATTTGTGTTCTTTGTACATCTGGCAATTTGTTGTTTTTGTTTAAAATTAACTACACAAGCTTTAACTACACACTAAAAAATTATAATTTTGAACGGAGTTTGAAATTTTCTGCAATGTGTTTAAAAGATATTTTCAACTCCACTGATAAACATTGAAAAATATATCTTTTAAGACAGGTTAATTATTATCAGTTATTTTTTAGATTTTTAGGTCGTTTGGATTGGTTACATTATTTAGATTGTGTTAGATTGATCAGATTGTTTTTAGAAAGTATGTTTTTTTCCCTGTCAATTCTGTTTGCAGCAAAATTGTTAAATCAACGACAATTAAAATTGTAATTAATTGCACACTTTCCTTACTAATAAACGATTGTTCCTAATTTTGTTTATCAGTGTTGAAAATTACTTTTAAACAATTTTTGTATGCATTTACAAATTTAAATGCCTTTTTGTTGAACACGATTTTGAGCAGAAAAGTTGGGGAAAAGGTTTTTCCAACCAAAGCGAAATACATAGTGTCACAAAAAAGTTTTGGCAGTTTAAATGCGTTCTAATGGTCGCTTGTGGCGCCCTCTACAAGATACAACGAAATCGTCAATAAATTCGAATTTCTCCTCCCAAAAAAAAAACATACGAAATTAATTTCACGAAATTAGCTCGAAGTAGTCAAAAGATATTAAAGAATATGTTATTTATTTTTTCCACTGGAACACCTTGCAAGCTAAGTGTCTATGAACAACATTGTATATGACTTTGCCGAATTAATTTTCATCGTAGAATCTAGTGGTAAAATTTTGCCTATTGTTTAACGGACGCCCTGTTTAGTGAAATAGTTTTTTCTTAACTACGACTATTTAGTATAGGTATAACATATGTCACCTGGTCAACAAAACAGCGATATCATGGTGTAACGGACTATCCTCAGGTGGATTAATCTTGACCTGCCACTTACAGAAACTGTCTAACGTTTGCTCCGCGGCTGGACTGATCTCTAGGTCGATCTCCGCCTCTTCTTTCTCCAAGAACATCATTCTGACGATGACGACGTCCATTAAGTTACCACTGCTGCCGTCGTGATAGAAATCGGAGACCTGTGGAAGGACATTTGGCGTGTAGGTGTCTTTTAAAAGAGCTATATCAAAATATATGACATAAAATTTGTTCAGAAATAAAACAAGGGTACAAAATCAATAAATGTATGTTATCTCCATTCAGGGATTATTTAAAAAATTATTCATTTTTTACGAAACCAAAATCGAATCAAATCAATGCAGTGTTATCTTGTTTGTAAGACAGGTGTGATTGAAGGAACTAAATTTTAAATAGCAGTATGTACAGGCAAAGTAATGAGTGTAAGCATTGTTGTCGTGGTGGATTATTCTTGAAAAAGTGACGAATAATCCTGATATGTTGTGTTTTTGTAATTTGGTTTTTATTAATTCAATTCGCGAAGAGGCCACCCGATGAAATAATTCTAGATATGTAAACAATTTTTTTTTATCTAGAACACGAAATAGTACTTCGGCGTTCTAAAACATAAAAGTATTTTGCAGCGAGGTGACAAAACAGACTCACTTTGTCAACTGAAATTTAATGAAAATATCGACAGTTTTTGAAAAAGGTCTTTCCTGTAGTAACGTCATTCATGTGTTGATCATTGTCAAGGGTAATGTTAGAACAACAAAAATATTTCTTTTAATATTACCCTTTTCGCTTTTATTTTGGAACATTATTTGTTGCTAGCTATTTACTACATATTGCTGTTGTCACTCAATGCTAGTTGAGGCATGTTGGGGCATCAGCAGTAAGCAATCTGGTCTGTGATGTTGAATACCTTTTGCATACCTACATTTCTGGTAACGAACTACATTTTGTGACTTCATTTGATAAGATTTTTTAGGATTTTTTTTGGATTTATTTGAATTAATCTTTGTAATAAAGTAATGAAGGATTTTCTATCCTAATTTTTAATAGAATGTAAATACCTGATGATATCAGAATGCTGTTCAATGAAAATAAATGCAAAAAAATTAAACGCAATTGGAACACTAAACTAGTTTATATTCTACGTGATAATCATCTAATTAATTGACTAGCAATCTGTTTACTCGTAGAAGATTATGTATGAAGACCGTAACAAATAGTTGATATAAATAATAGTGATTAGTAAAATTTCCATGAACACCTGCACCTGTGTGTAATAATACTCATGACAAAATTACATCTGGCTGTAATGTTCTAGAAATATTGCAGCGCGCGGGGAATATATTTCTTTTTTCTACTTTATTAATTGGTGCAAATAATAAATAAATAATCAACAAGTATATCAGCATTTGAACATAAAAATTCGGTATATAATTGAAGAATGTTTTGCAACCATCTTCTCTTTATGCAGTATATTTTCAGAAAAAACGAGTCAGAATATTCTAAATGTTTTTTAAAATCAGCAACGCCTCACGGTTGTCCTTATTCTGTTAAAATTCCTGATGGCAAGACACATACTCAGAGGATATTTGTCATTTCAAATAAATTTCTTATTACAATATACAGGGTATTCCAACGAAAATTTGACCCCCCCTATAATTGGAAAACCGAATAATATTTCAAAATTCGCCGAGACCCGTTGATTTTTGTTCTTGGGGGGAGCTTTTTTGACAGTCAAGCCAACTCGATATGTTCATCCCCCTAATGCCTAGCAACCCCAACTTAAAAATTTCAAATGCAACTACCCCACTTGTGGCACATCATTTTAAAGCCCTTTTCATTGCGAATACAGTGACGTACCGTTTTTAGAAATCGGTTGAGATTTGACAGAATTATTGGTTACAAACGAAAAGATGACAAACCAACTTACGCGTAGTAATTTCTACACAAATGCCCACCACTAATAAGTTTTTCATCTACTACACATGACCGCATTACCTAATTGTTATTGATGTGTCTATCAGTTTACAAAAAAGTCAGAAATGAAATAAAAAAGCTGAAGCAAATAAAACTAGATACTAAAATAGTTATTAGTAGAAGATACTTAAGTTTATAGGAATTCAGACCTTTTCAAAATAACAAAAAATCAGTACTACAAAAAAAGTCGGTGTTTTTTGCTTGTGACCAAGAAATCGTTAGTTTCAGCCGTTATTGAAAGTATTAACGTGTGTTCGAAATGGTTTATTCTATCGCGGAAAGAGTAGAAATTGTTGCAATTTATTATCGAAATCACGATTGCGCTAAAGCTACAGCACGAATTTTTAATGCCAATCATCCTGAAAAAAATGTAAACCACCAGTACGTTAAACACCTGATTGACAAATTTGTTGCAACAGGTTCGCTTTTAAACAAGAAACGTGAAGTAATTGGGCCAGTTCGAAATGAAGCAGTTGAAGTGGCAGTTTTGGGTCATGTACAGATGGATAATAAGCAATCGATTACAACTGTGTCTCAAGCTTCTGGCGTATCCCGTTCCAGTGTTCATCGAATTTTGAAAAAACACAAGTTTCATCCATTTAAGATGACGCTGGTTCAAGAGTTACATGAAGATGACTTTGATCGCCGTAACCAATTTTGCGAATACTTTAGTGAACAACTTCTACTGAATCCAAATCTTCTCTACAATACATGTTTCTCCGACGAATGCACATTTATGTTGAATGGCGAAGTGAATAGACACAATTGTCGTTATTGGAGTGATACTAATCCGCATTTAATCAGGGAATTTCATACTCAGACACCTCAAAAATTGAATGTTTGGGCAGGCATTTTGGGCGACCATCTTGTTGGACCATTTTTCATCCAAGGTAATCTCGATGGAAACACCTATCTAGAATTATTGGAAAGTACAATTGATCCTAGGATAACAGAGATTTTAGAAAGTGACGACAATTTACTAGAAAATGAAATAACCTTCCAACAAGATGGTGCGCCCCCGCACTATGCTGCTGCTGTGCGACAATTTTTGGATGACCATTTCCCGGGGCATTGGATTGGCAGAAGAGGTCCCGTCGAATGGCCACCAAGATCTCCGGATCTGTCCCCTTTGGACTTTTTTCTGTGGGGTCATTTAAAATCACGAGTGTACGCCACTCAGCCGGAAACATTGCAAGTGCTACGTCAGAGAATTGTAGAAGAATGCCGATTAATAACTGCGGATGTCTTTAATAATGTTCGAACAGAATTTGAAAACAGACTGTATTATTGTTTGGAAGTTAACGGGGGTCATTTTGAGCAATTCATCAAATAAATCTGATTTATTATTTGCTTCAGCTTTTTTATTTCATTTCTGACTTTTTTGTAAACTGATAGACACATCAATAACAATTAGGTAATGCGGTCATGTGTAGTAGATGAAAAACTTATTAGTGGTGGGCATTTGTGTAGAAATTACTACGCGTAAGTTGGTTTGTCATCTTTTCGTTTGTAACCAATAATTCTGTCAAATCTCAACCGATTTCTAAAAACGGTACGTCACTGTATTCGCAATGAAAAGGGCTTTAAAATGATGTGCCACAAGTGGGGTAGTTGCATTTGAAATTTTTAAGTTGGGGTTGCTAGGCATTAGGGGGATGAACATATCGAGTTGGCTTGACTGTCAAAAAAGCTCCCCCCAAGAACAAAAATAGACGGGTCTCGACGAATTTTGAAATATTATTCGGTTTTCCAAATATAGGGGGGATCAAATTTTCGTTGGGATACCCTGTATATAAATAAATGTATAAATGCTGAAATAAAAATAATTTTAAAAATAAAGTCATGTTTTCGAAGCAAATTGGCTTTACGTGTTTTTTCACTTTTTTTAGTGCTCACTAAAATTTAGACGACCTTTCGGAATGTTAGTTATTTTATGATGTAGACAAATAAATTACCTACAATTTAAGGTACAAATAATCATTTTTCACTAATTTGTTAACTCTAAATTGAAAGTCAAATGCGAGAATATTAGTTTTCAAATCTTGCGCATTATTATTGCAAACAGCGATGGATATTGATGAAATTTATGGAAAAGACGGTCAGTCAATACAATGACCAATATGCTTGCTAAACGCCGATTCAATTGATCGTGAAATTGTTGCTTCAGCTATTTGATAATTAATTTCGTTTGTTTTTTTGCAACCAATTGTTTAATTATTAAACGTTAATTTTAGAAGTTAATATCGTAGATATATGTTCTAATTGATCCAAACAAACGTATCGATAAAGAAAAAATTCAAAATTTTAGAAAAATGTTAGCGCTATTTTGCAGGTTCTACTTGTTAGTTGTAAATGGGCCATTTCAATTTTTTGAATTTTTTTTTTCGATGCGTTTCTTTGGATCTATATATACGATATTAACTTCTAAAATTAGCATTTAGTAATTAAACAATTAGTTGCAAAAACTGAAACGAAATTAATTAACAAACACCTAGAGCAATAATTTCATAGTCAATCGAATCGGCCTTTGCCACACATGTTGGTCTTTGGATTGACCGTATTACTAATAATTTGTTCACGTTCAAACTCTAATTCGACTTAAGTAACTACTAAGCACATATTTGTGTTTCAAAATTATGAAACACCCTATTAATACGATTTAGACAACATATTGTTTATATATTTAGAGATTAAATAACTGTACTGCATAAAATTTGACTTCAAAATGAGCAACACTTTTTTCTTTAGAACAAAAAAAATCGCACAGTGACGGTATTGCGAGCTCATTAATATACATTTTAATTAATATTAACAAAGGTGTTAACTGAATGAGTAATCTACACATGTTGGAGTAGTAATTTCGAAACAAAAAATTGATAAATTCAGGATAGTGAATTAATTAGTAAGCACATTCAAGGGCATCTTTATAAAAAAATACTACTTTTTCTAGTACTACAGAATGACCCAAGAAAGGGAATTTAGAACTTTTTGATATATCGAATGAAAAAAAATTAATTAAAAAATACCATTCCTAAGTTGTTATTATTTGCGTTTACTTGTCTGCTGGATAACACTATAGATAAAAATAATTTATTGAAGAGAGCCAAATTAAAGTGGACCAAAAATGGTTTTATAAGTAATTAGTATGCGGGAATGATTCCATTTTAAATTAAATTAAATATATCATGTT